CGAGGATGCTCGGATGAATGTGTGAATATACGTACTATGATAGATATGATTAGGAATGATGTTATATGGGGTAAGGTGAGAGTGACCTCTGTGGTGAACAACATGAAGGAAATGAAAATGAGATGGTTCGGGCAATTGAAGAAGAGTGTGTGGATGCACCAGTAAAAAAAGTGTGAAAGGTTTGTGGTAGCAAAAATTAATTAGGAGAGGTAAAGGTAGGCCCAAAAAAAACTTGAAAGAGATGATTAGACATGCACGACACGACATAACTTCAATTGTCTAAGATCATGAACCTAGATAAGAGAGTTTGAAGGCCGAAAATTAAAGTAGAAGACTAGAAAATATATAGCTGAGTGTAATCACACTTTATGTGGGAGAGGTAGGGCTAGCCACCTCCTCTCCTTATTAATACTATTATATTCAGTAGTCACATAATATCTCTTTTATGGTGTCCTATCTATCGAGAGTTCAATTCAATATCATAAACTTTTTTGTTTTTGTGTGGGAGAGCTATTAACAAAATTACTATTTGTTGCTTTAATATTTGTTTTGTATATTTTGTTATTTTGCTGTCATATTTTTTTTTTTAATTTTTCTTTAGGAATATTTATTTTGAGTTGATGGTCTATCAAAGGTAGTCTATTTGCCCCACAAAGATAAGGATTTGATTTGCGTACATCCTACCCTCTTCAAATCTCACTAGCTTAATTATGGGATGATGCAATATCAGATACACAAAAAAACAAAAGAATATAAAATAAAGATAAAAGATGGAAGAATGATAAGAATTGAGCACAATGGTTGTATGAATCAATACCCCCAACCACTATATTCTACAAAACACCAATTCTATAGAAAACAAAACACATTACTTGTAGGTAATAATAGTTATATCAAAAATCAAAACATAATAGTTATATCAAAATCAAAACCTCCTATTAAGAACACCAAACAAGCAATTACACTATAGAGACACCATCAAGAGGAATAATCCTCAAGCAAACAGTCTCATCAAACATTATCAAACAACAAAGGACTTAGCCTCAAACTTCCTCAAGAATATACTCAATTCATGAGAATTCAACATATCAAAATAATCTAAGTCTAAATGATCTATCCTGACTTATTTATAGTCTAACCTAGCTATTACATAAAAGGCCCATATGTCGCACATCAAAGAATTGCAAAAATAGCCTAAATTGGACTGCATGTGTAGTATGTGATGTAGTTTGCGTGAACACATCTCCCACTTGTGGTTGCATCCATTTCCACATCTCCAAAACAATGATCCTTGAAGTTATAGGTTGAATGTGGCTCGAGTTGTGGTCATAACCTCTCACTTGTTATCACATCAAGCTTAGAATCATCAACACCTTGAACCTTGAAATTATAGGCTAAATGTTGCTCGAGTTGCGGTCACAATCTCTCACTTGTTGTCACATCAAGCTTAGCATCTCACATCGCAAGTGAGTCCTTCTCCCTACTCCAAGTATTTCTTCAAGCGGAGTCTTGTACTTCCATAAATAGATTTTTGAGTTTCATGCATTCTTTCCAAACACTAATTTCCAAGTCTATAAAATAGTGACTCGATGAAAAGTCTACGAACTTCTTAATTAGCTCGGCTTCATATACAAGTTTTTGATAAAATTCAACTTGCATCAATATTGAATTTATCAATATTGTTGTTATTATAATGTCATTCCATTTTGCCTAGTACTATTATACAATAAACTGAAAAGGGTCAAAATTGCCCCTGAACTATGCGAAATAGATCATTTATACCCTCAATTGCATTTTGAGATAAAAAATACCCCCGTTGTTATCCCTAGAGACCACAAATACCCCTCAAAAGTTAACAACCCAAATTGTTAATGACATGGCAAGCCATGTGGGACTAATCTCTCCAGTTGCCAACTAGGATTTCCAACAATTAGAAATCCTTCAAAAATTAGAAATAAATCTTTTATTTTTAATTACATAAAAACTATTTATATTTTTAATTAAAAACCTTTTATTTTTAATTACGTAAATATTTACCACTCTTTATTAATATTTATATTTATTGCTGTTAAAAGTTATTTTTTCATCGTAGTTTAACTATTAACCATGTATATTTCCACTTGATAAATAACTAATATATAATATATCTAACTTGATAGGATGATTTTTTGTATAACATACCTGTATCATCTGTATGTATGAGGGAAAATTTATGGCTCAATAATATTAACTTTGTTCTTGTTTTTTTTGTTGGATTAATACAATTTTAGGAGATTTAGATTAAAAAAAAAGTTAGTGGTAATCCTAATTGGTAGCATAGGTGGAAGGATCAGTCACGCATGGCTTGCCATGTCATTAAAAATTTGGATTGTTAACTTTTGAGGGGTATTTGTGGTCTCTACATATAAGAGTGAGAGTATTTTTGAGCTCAAAATATAACAAAGGGTATAAGTGATCTATTTCACATAGTTCAAAGACAATTTTAACCCTTTTCCGTACAATAAATTAAAGTTAATAAGAGGAAATAAAGAAGACGTTTTGTATGATAGAATACAATAATATATAAGTCAATTTATTCTAGAATGACATTTTAACTACCTTAAGAAGTTGTTATATTACAAACATACGTGGTGCTAACGAGGTCCACTAAAATATACTAAGGAAAAGACAAGTTATGTCTTCATACATAGTATTATTATAAGTTCATTTTTCTAGTTAACCAATGATCAGATAAAGAGATATAAAAGAATGATCAAATACTTTTTCAGCCAATAGGTTAGGTAGCTTCTTATTCATTCCAAGCAAATTAATCAAATACAATATAACAATATTAATTGACAAGATCTTAATTATCATTTATGACTCCTCACCACCATCAAAAGTTATTTCAATTTTATTGAATTTCATATATAATTTAGTTTTAATGACATGATTTATAATCATAAAAATTAAGATTAAAAATAGAAAGGAATGATAAGCTATATTATATTTGTAGTATATGAATCGTAATTATCAATTTTGGAGATTTATGAATTTTTTCAAAGCGGAAGCGAATCTGCAGCAATCACGATTCGTATCACTGATTGTCGAAAATTCTCACAAAGTGAATGAATTCCCTTTAGGGATGCAAAAAGTTTCATTAATAATCCTAACCGTCATTTAATATGAAAAGAAATATTTTCTTACACCATGGACTCGACCCAATAATTATTGCCAACAATAAATTATAATTCATATTTATATATATTCCTTTCGCTATTTATTTATTACTTATATAGAAGTTATCATTATCGATCTATTTTATGTTGATAGTCAACGCACTATAACCTCTTTTTCCGACATGAAACTCACTATGTTTCTTGAAGAAATATATATAGTTTATAGGTTTGACTATGGTATTATTTTATATTGTGTTGGTTTAATAAGTATAATATTTGGATAATTGTATTGTTTTCTGTTGTAACACTATGTCATGGATCTAAAATCTAAAGAATAAACTTATAATAATTTTTTTTTAAGAGATACGAGGGAAAATTATTATTAAAAAAATATAGGATAAAGAATAAAATAGAATTATTAAATAATAAATGAAGACAAAATAAGAAAAGAAAATATAACAACGTGATCACATCAAATCATTACATAAAATTAAACTTTTAATTGTTAAATAACATAATGAATTTAACAATATGATACAACAAAATTCAAAAAATAATAATCAAAACTAACATTGTATCAGAAAAGTTCAAACAATGTTATACAATAGATAACAACTAGGGGTGTACATGGCCGGGTTGATTCGGATTTTTCAAATATCAAACCAAATCATTTGTGTCAGATTTTTAAATTTATAAACCAAACCCAACCAATAAAACTCGGGTTTTTCAACCTAGGGTTTTTTCGGGTTTTTCGGGTTGTTTCTAGTTTTTCCAGTAAAGTATTCATACAAACATATAATTTACTTGTACTTCAAATATTTCTTTAGTCCTACCAAAATACAACTATCTAAGATGTTTCTTAAAAATATAACACAATATGATATGATTAATGACACTAAAATATCCAACAAAAATAATAATAATGAAATCGCGTAAAATAAATATTGCAAATTAACAAGTCATAATGAAAATGATCATAATTTAAAAGTACTAAATCATGCTAAAATTAAGTTTAATAAGTATTAGTTACATGACTAAATATTAAAGAAAATTAAAATTAGATTATGTATTTTAATTGTCTAAACTAATGTAAAACTAAAGAATAAATATTCAATATTATTGTCATTCTTAGAGTTGAATTGATTTTCTTTTTGTATTAGTATTAATTTGATTTTGATTTAAGCTTTATTATAATTACCAACATCTGTGGACTATAATCTTTATTGGCCCATTCATAATTCTAAGTTTCAAACTTGAAATAATATATTAAAAGATAAAAACTATAGAAAGGTATAAGAAATATTTAAAAATTATATCAAAGTAAATATTTTTATGTATAAAATAAAATTTTAAAATTATATGTATAAATTCGGGTTGGTTTGGTCTCGGGTTGGTTTTTTTTAGTTAAAACCAAACCAACCCAAATATAGTCAGGTTTTTTTTTTCAAAACCAAACCAAGTCAAACCAAACCACTAGTCAGGTTTTTTTCCGGGTTGACTCGGTTTGCGATTTGGTTAGGTTTTCGATTCAGTTTTGTACACCCCTAGTAACAACTAACAACCATCCAAACAACTGAACAAGTATTACACCCTTCATTTCAATTTATTTGTCTTACTTTTCTTTTTAGTCCATTTCCAAAAAAATAAAAAATTCTTTCATCTTTTGTAACAACTGTCATTTACTTGTACTGATACATATCAAGTTATAATATATATTATCTTGATTAATAAAAAATAAATTAAAACAATACTATATAATATAAAGTCCCTCAACAACAATACTGCATAGCAGAAACAAACATTCCTATCCTCTCTCTTTTTTTTCTCTCCTCATTAAGATCAATGGCTGTGGTAAACTCTCTTTCAACACCTTTTCTAATTACAAAATCATCTTTTACTACAAGAACAATAAGGCTGCCTGTCCACAGACAAGTGGTATTTGCAAGTATTCATGACAATATTTCAAACAACATCTCATCATCATCAACAACAACAATAACATCAATCAATCCATGTCAAATCAAATTAGCTTCGAAAAATGGGCTTAAGGTATGTCATTTTTTTTAAATAATAGTGATGGTGGAATTCGATTCCTAAGACTTTTGTCTGCTTTGATATTATGTCAAATTATATTAAGCCTAGAGTCTATTTTGGTATGTATCAGAATATGACTTATCTCAACTATTATGAAATGATGTTAAACCTTCATATTAAATTGTCCATACATCATATGTCCAGTTTTGGGCGTGAAATAGAAATGAATAGTTTCTTTATATGAATTTGAGCAATTCTTCGTTCATGAGCTAAGTTTTGAATTGAGTTAGACGCATTTGGTAGAGTATTTCATGATTATCTTTGTTTATTTATCCTTCTTTCTGCTTAGAACGTATTGATTCGATCTAATAAGTAGGAGGACTAATCATCCAATCAATAGATTATGTTTTCAAAATTTTGAAATAATGTTTGGAGATTATTTTAAGTAGGTGATTGTTTATCAAACTTATACGTTATTTCAATTTCAAACTTAAAAATATGAAATTTAAAGTTTAAAAAAAGATAATTTAGAAGTTTTCACTCAAAAAAACCTCAATTGTGTTTTCATGTTCAAACACAAAACTTTGAATTTCAAATAGCCTTTATCAATTCAATTTCACTTATTAGTACTATTTTTTTTTCAAATATCAATCAATTCATGTAGAAACGTCTACTGATTTTTCGTAATATATTTATTATATGAATATATTATAGGTATTTGAAGATAAGTCAACGGGTGTAGTTTGTTATAGAGATGAATATGGAGAAATCACATGTGAAGGATATGATGAAGGCCCTCGTTTTTACCACCAACCCCCAAAGTCTCCTTCAAAATCAAGGTATATATATGTAACATTATTATTGTAATAATTAGAACATATAATATTATTAATACAACCATATGATTAATTTATTTTTGATACTTACTATAACATGTTACAATATTCAGAGATGAAGAGATTGTAGAGCTCCTCCAAAGAAATTGGCTTCATATAGCTGATGATGCTGTGGAATGAACACATTTTTGTGCATTCTTAACGGGCTTATAATCGACTCGATTATAAATGGTTCAAGTTCAAGCTAATTCGATATTATTATATGAATATTATGTATTCATTTTGTTCTATTCAGACTCATGATAGCCGTCGTTGTAAATAAGGGATGATATTAACTTGCCTTTTATTTTCTTACCCCTTTTTTTTTCATATTTTTTTAATTTTGGGCTCTCACCGACTTTTGATATAAAATTCAAACTTGAAATTTCTCATTTAAAAATTAAATTATTAGAATAGACATATTTTAATTTATTTAATTATATCAACAATACGCTCACGTATGTGTGGACCAGATTCTTTTTATGAACCTAACACGTGAAAGTTTTTTGATAATAGGTGTGGTGAGGCGAAACTCAAAACTTTCTTTAAGTTGTGTGAGTGTGTGACTAACTTAAGTTTAAGTTATTAAAAGAATAATTAACCCAATTAGCAGCCCATTATTGAGATAAACTCAAAATACACTACTAACAAAACGTAAAACTCCAACGGAATCCGTAGATTTTTTGATAATTTTTTTTTAAAAAAATGACAGGCATCCATTGGTTATTTTTCGCGTATTAATTATAAAAAAATTAAAATTTTCTTAAGAAAACCCGACTGAGTTTTTCACTTTGTTTCTCTTTTTTTTTTAGTTGCAAAAATCGAGGGACAGTATCGCTATTTTAAATGCAAAATTGCATGCATTTGAGGAATATAAATTAAAAACTACGATAGTATTTCAAAAAATAGCATTTGTAGACCAATGGAAAGTGCTTACTACTGTAAGAATTGTACCAAAAACAACGAAAAGTATTTGAAAAATATCATTTGTCGACTTAGCAAGGGGTGAAGGAACCTCTCAAGAGATTGGAGGAAAAAAAAAATTGAGTTTGTATTATCAGATATATATACCAAATAGATTATGGTTGGATGTAATCTCTCAACTTTTAACCCAATGTTTTTGGTTTGAGCTTGAGAAAAGAGGAACACTTTGGTCGAGATTGTTTTAAGGAAGGTGATTTGCTAATCGAATCAAAATAAATCCTCACCCTAAAAAGAAATTGATAAACAATTTGATCGGGGGCACTTTCCCTATAAGGAAGTTTTAAATAAATTAGGAATTTAAAGTTCCTCCTCCCCCTATAAAGAATGTGAATTATTGATCGAACCCAAATAAATTGCCTCCCTTAAAGAGAATGGAGAACCATTCTTGTTGGAAGTGCTTTCCGTTGTAAGGATGTTTTGAAGTAAACTAATAATCAAGAGAATCTTTTCCTTGCATAAGAAACGTAATTGGCTGATCGAATTAAAATAATTCGTTTTCCTAAAATAGAATCACTACTAAAAAACGGGTACGGGGTGACAAATTTAATTAATATTGGGTGACGAATTAGTGACGGAAAAACGGTCGCTAGAGTTTTATATTTTTATAAAATTTCTATTATATACTAACGAAAAAATCCGTCATTAAAATTTATTCTAAATAAATACATTTATTTGAAAGTGACGGACGTTATAATCCGTCATTAAATTGGTTACAATATTTTTTAAAATCATATATTCTAGGGCATAAAATTATTTCAAAGAAACTTTCACTCTCTCACTCCAGAGCCTCTCTTTCCATCTCCAATAGCTTTCATCTCTTTCCATCTCCATCTCAAAAGGTAAGCTCCGAAACTCTTATCTCCATTTCAATTTCATTTAGCTCTCCATCTATCTCTCAATTCTTTCCATTTTATTTAGCTCGAAATGAGGGATTTTAACAGTTTGGGGGTTTTGAAAATAGGGATTTTAACAGTTTGGGTGTTTTGAAAATAGGATATTTTAACTCTCAACTCTTTCAATTTTCATTAGCTCGAAGTAAGTTTGGGCTTTTCTCAAAATAGGGTTTTTAGCAATTTGAGTGTTCTGAAAATAAGGGTTTTTTAGAAGTAAAGTTTTTTGAAAATAGGGGCTAGGGTTCACACAAGAATTTGGGGTTAGGGTTCAAGCATTTTACTTTGATTTATTTTCTTTTCTTTTGTGAAGTATATTACACACTGATTTGTTTTTGCTTTACACATCAACTAATTTCATTGTTTGTGACTACTGACTACCGACTCTTTCTCTCATGTAAAAGGTATATCTCTTTTTCTCACCTGCACAATAGCTTTTTTTCCAGAAAAATGTGTTGGTATAATTTTTCTATTTATACTTTTGTTTGGTTCATTTTTTGGTAATAAATAATGTTAGTGTAATATTGAATCTAGTGCTTGCTTCTGGTTGATTTTGGTATTTCAATTTAGGATCTTTTGAACTTGTCTGATATATAACTTCTTTTTGATTTTGCGATTGATATTCTAATGTGGTTCTTTATGTTTTTCTCACTTGAAATGTACTCGATCCGAGAGTTTATTAAAACAACCTCTCTATTTAAGCCAAGAATATTAGATTAATTAGACATTTAATAATCATCAAAATTTTCTGCTGAAGGAGAGAATGATCAGTTTATACACTATAATTAAAGTCTAGGCTAGATGTGGTACAATGAGTTGTTGTCACGACCCAGACCATCGTGATTGACACCCACACTAACCCTTCGGTGGGAGAACCATTCATACTAATTAGCTAATCAAGAACTACACAACTTAATCAAAACTAAGACATTTAAAGTTACGGAAGCAGGTTTAAATGCTAAGGAAAATAAATAGGGAGTTCCCATAAACTCCAAAAGTCTAACAAACAATGCGAAAAATACGCCTAGAACCTGAAAGTCAATGTACCAAAACATCTAAGGTTCAACCATAAGTCTAAACAATAAGGGGTACAACCCCATACTAAACATAAGAAATCTAAGTCTAAGTCAGAAAATGTGGACATAAACAGGAAGAGAACTCATGGCAACCCGAAAGAACTGACTCACCCTTGAATTCAAAACGATCACTGATCTTCTAAAAGAGGTCTGTCAATAGCTGTTTGAAGATGCCATGTACTCAACAAAGAAAGAGCAAGTGCAGTGTCACTATACAATCACAATGTACTAGTGGGATCACGCGACTATCCCACTAAGTGCAACATACATGAGTCATTACAACATAATAATAACATGCATACACCGAACATATACAATATCAATATCACTTACGAACAATGTACAATTTCACAATTCTCAAGATATACAGTTATATCAAGTCAATGGTCCTCTCATGGAACCCACACCCAAATTGTTAGTGTACCGATACGTGGTACCTGATCCAATATTTATGTCGGAACATGGCAACCGATCCCAGTTAGTGTGTCGGAATGCAACACCCGATCCATTCAACAAGCCACAATCACAATCACAAGTATATTCTCAAAATCATAAAATCAAGTCATGATTCATAACATTCATCATTCATCTTTCCTTATTTACAATTAGTGTGATCAATAATGCAACATTCGCATACATACATGTATTATAATGAAGCAAGAACAAACATACATCACACAACATGAAATCACAACCATCACCTACCTCGAAACAAGCTTGAATCCCCTAAGAAACTTGATTCTTCCCTTTCCGGATTCGTTTCTCTTGTTCTTGGTCTACAAACAATCAATTTAACACGGTATCAATAAGTGATGTCTAATTACCCGGATTAAAACCAACACTATCAACCCTAGATCAAACCCATGATCCTAATATCCAGAATTAGGGCTTTTCCCACCATCCAAACAGTTCCAAAACCCTTCCCCAACAATAATTATCCACGAAACTAAGTTTTATGGATCGAAAAATGGATTCGGGGAGTTAAAACCTTACCTTTACCCTCAAGAATGGTGAAAAATGGTCAAGAACTCGTCCGGGGTCGTCTCCTAGCTCTCAAAGTCGAAAAGTGCAGAATAAAACATTTTTGGGGTTTATTTCTGACTTAAGTCGCGATTGGCTCGCTATGGCGGCACCCATCTTGCCACAGCGGCCTCGCCTTGGCGGGAATAATCCCGCCTTAGCGGCTTGCACGGAAATAGAGAGCTAAATAAAGAATTCTAAAACCCCCATTTCACAACACACCTTCAGCCAATGACACTCAGAAACTACCCGTTCACGCTAAGATCAGTTTCGGGAGTTCTACTCACCCGAATTCAATTTCGTAAAGTCGCACGGGTTCCTTAACATCTTAGCTATCTACTCATGTGATCAACATCATAATTAAATCACCCAATTGTTACTAGATTTCGCTAGACCTTACTGACTCCGATTTCGTTGAAATCTAGACTAGGTTGGGAAATCCCAAGTTACTATGAAAAAGTTTTCCGGCCCAAAATTTTTCCCCGGTGGCTTTTCTATAACGACGGGAACCGATCGTTACAGTTGTTGCATTACAATCATTTATGTTTATGTGGGCTAGACTATCAACTATGAACTTTTCAAAATTATGGTTAGTCGCTAAACACTTTAATTCAATTATGCGAACTCAAGATAAATTATGTGAAACTTCAATAACATAGTAATAAAATGAAATAAGGAATTTCTCAAAGTCGTGAAATAAGCCTCAATTAAGCTTCAATAATCTGCAGAAATAAGGAACTTCACAGAGTGTGTTTAGAAACTACATTGAATAAACTCCCATGGAAATGAGATTATTACATATGGTCTAAAAAGAAAGTAAAAAGTGATAGAGTGATAAGTAGAATAAATAGGACACTACATAATTTAATTTGGTTATTTCATTATGGATACGTAAGAACTGAATATGGAAAGTCACTCTCTTCTGAGCATTCCTTTATAGTGTTTGTCTTGAGCCAGACCACTCATTCCATCAATTGATAGTGATGGTAGATATTATGAATTGATAAAGTAGTAAATAGTACATATTTATACAATTATAAGAAGAGTTGAACCATTATGCTGATATAGAATGAAAGCAAAGTCAGGATATGAACATATATACACACCTTGATAGTTTGTATACATAATAAAGTAGTTGACGCCAAACAAGAGAAAGATATGCTTGTGGAGGAGAATTAGTTTTTCCTCTTCTGTTCA